TTCAAGTGATTTTCGGCATGTTGGTCGAAGCTAAATAAAAAAAGAATAGTTCTTCAGAATGCATTAATTTAACCATAGGGAATATTCACATAACTTCTAGTATTCTAGGAATACTGAAATTCATTTGATGTTCTCCACAAATATCGAATGAGAAAACTGATACTTTTTCCAAAGAGATACAAGACCTACCAAGTAACTAACCAACAAAATTGGGTTCAATATTTCAACTGAAGTTTTTTTAATACACTGTTCATCTTTTCTAACATTTATACTTTAAGAAAAGATGTAGCCAGCCCCTCTCTTTATTGTTGTAAAAGATGCCAAAAATCATAGTAATATATATTATATTATCCCATTTTAATGCAGAATATCTAATATAGTCAATAATTAAATCAATATGAGCAATACTAAAATAATATTTATGAACAGGAGCTTATGATAAAATAAACGTGTGTTTGTATTACGTAAATTTTAATTTTTATACTTTACGATAAAGTTAATGTCAAAATATCATTCGAAATTTTCTCTTTTACTATAATCTTTTGTATAAATTTTTTATTCATTACCAAAGCATTATTTCCCAATTTCAGCATCAAATTTGGCACTCTAGCAAAGAAATTCCTTTTATAACTAGTATAGTTTTTAAATAATTTTATGCTGAAATTGGCAAATAATGCATTGGTAAAAAACCTTAAAGAAATAGTGTGTTATTCATATGTATTTTAAATAAATAACATGCTATATTTTCAATAAAAAGAGCAATTTATTTATGTATCATAGGATAACATATAAAATTTTTTGTGAAAAATAAGTTTGAAATCTATAATATTTTTTTTTTGAAACGTGGTAAGTGAACCAATTTTTTTAATGATTTTGTTATTTGCAGATAAAAAGGTAAAATATAGCTATCAAATTGCATATTTTCTTATATCATTAAAATTGTATAGTGAGAATATAATTACTTAATAATTTGTTTATATAATTTGCATACTCTTTATCGCATAAAACTGCAATTTGTCGAAAATATGTGTAGGGTTGTGGACCTTGTGGTTGCACAACAAACAAAAACGGCAATTTGACTAGAAGTGATAAAAAAAGAAAACCAAAGTAAATTCAATCATTTGGGGGCAGTAGTTATCATCTTTACAATATGTATTCGTGCATCAGTTGATGCTTAATTAGCTCATTCTTATCTATTATTGCTCTTTCTCCATTTTGATACTTAATTCCAGCTTCTGCTAACTGGTTTCTGTAAAATATAATGAATACAAAAAATGGAATCAGATGTAAATAATGAACACATAGTCTAAACCTATATTATCTTAATTATACAAGCACTATCATTTATCAATTAGCATTAGCATCATCGATATGAGGTTTTAAAATAAAGTTTATGCATACTCTTGAACTTTTGCAGCTTATAAACTATAATTCTTAACAAGACAATATTGGCTCTGCCTATTAACATTTTTGCAATTTGATTTGTTACATAATGTCTTTTACGTGGTTTATTTTGGAAATTGACTATTATTAATGCTTCGGGGAAATCTTTATAATATCCTTTGCAATGTACCACACAATCGTTGACAAAAAAAAATGTACCACACTCAAATAATATTCTAAAGGAATATGCTCTGTTGAGACTCATGCGGTCATGGCTAGTCTTTTTTCTTTGTAATTTCAGATGTGTAAAAGGCTACCACTCACTCACTCAGTGTTGGACAAAAAAAGTAATAAAAAGCAATTGAAACTAGAGATAGACATATAGAAGAGCAAAGTTACTTTAAACTAAGATTTTTATCAATTACACTTGGACCATTGTCCTGAAGAACTCCGCTTCTACCATTGTTAGTTAATTACACAATTCGTATTAAAAAAACATCTATAGTATTATTGGGTTAATCTTGTTTAGTTCAGTGCTTAAGTTCTTTTTTTTTTTTTAACATCTATTCATTAACTAAATTTGAATTAAGAGTTACATTGTTGTCAATCACATATACCATTACAACAAAAACATTGCTTAAGAAGGACATTATATTGGAATAAGAACAATTACACGTTGCTTTCTTTCGCAGATAAGACTTCCACGCGAACAGATATTCATATTTGTTATGTGCTTTACCCGTCGATATCCTCGGTCCAACTCGATCATCTTGCTTGGCCATCATTATCAAATGCCAACAATTTTTTTTACGATGATCAATTATGATACATCTGTTACATCGCAATCCAAACCAATATCTCCCACTGCATGAGATGACATGTATTGTAGTTGTAATGAATTTCCATGCAACTGAATCTCTTCCAATTTGAGACGAACTGTACCAGCACGTTGTCTCTTTCTCCGATTCATTGTGTTTCCATTCTTTAGACACATACATGAGTTTCCTTCTCCGCCATGGTTGTTTCCAAGGCCGTTGTTTCCAAAGCAAAGAGATTAAGAGAAAGAAACAATCACCAGTTGAAAACATAATCTTGAATTTGCTGAGATTCTGTCTCTGGAAACTGAACCCACTACCCATGATACAATAACGATTATCATCATCAGATTGTTGAAAAACCTTCAAGAATTGTTGATCTTTTGCACTGTGATCAGACTTGTGAATCGCCCATCGTAGATCGACATCTCTGGTCATCTCTCCTATGTTTGGATAGAGATACCGAGAGAAATTTGCAGAGAAACTTTGATTTGAGATGCAGGAATTGAAAATTTTCCCCAAATCGTATCATGAAACAAACTCTAATTTTCTCATTAGAATCTGCCTCATCGTGCACGACCGGAATGTCCGTGCCTCTTGGCAAGAATGAAGACATCCCACATCGGCGAAGAAAACTGTCGGAATCTTCTCTTGAAGGAGAAGATGACACAATAAAATCTGCCACACTAACCACATATGTGATCGCGTGGAATGTTAGATTGATTTATCAAATCAAAGAAACCGGCGGAGGCCCGGTGAAAACCCCTCTCAGAGGAGAAGAGAAACCGTCGATAACGAAAAGAACTATCGCCCTCACAGACAGTTTTTTTATGTAAGCTTTATATATGTGCTTAAGTTCTTAGTTCATTACTTGTCTTGTTTAGTTTGTTTTCATTTGAGTTAGGTTGATAGAGAAAAACCCAAAAACATTTCACCTTGCTCAACTTAAAGAGTTTCTTGTATTCTTGTTGCTATACAAACTTCACCCTCTCTAAAATGATATCTCTTATGCTACAATAGCATCTAGAGAAATGTAGGTAAACAAAATCTTGTTATCACCTGCTGTATACATGGAGTGGGAGCATAAGAGCATCTGTATTGGTGAACTCCATATGGGGTTCTAATTTTATATTTTAATAATAAAATTTTCCTTCCCACAAAAATTAAAACCTTTCATAATATCAAACATACAATGGTGAACTCTTTAGAGGTTCATTGTAATAAAATAATATTTTTTTGTAATTTAATTTTTTTATATAATAATTATTGATATATATAATTGTTAACATAACACTTTGTATGAAAACAATTTTTATTCATTACATAAAAAAAAAATACAGAATATTGAACTTGAAATTATATCATAAAAATGTTTAGTTTTGACCTTGAGAATTGCCAAATTTTTGCCAAATGTGCTCGACTAAGTCAGCTTTTAGTCGGTCATGTATTTTTTTATCGCGAACTTTATTTCTTTTTCCGAGCAAATTGTTTAGATTTGTAGGCATATATGTAGAATATGTCATATCCACCTCTGAAGTTCCGCTTCCTTCTCCATGCTCGAAAGTTCTTGTATCGAACTGAGTTGACGCCTCTCTTTCGTTTTCAATAATCATATTATGTAATATGATACATGCTCTCATAATTTTGCCAAATTTTTCTTTATCCCAAAAAGAGCAGGGTTTTTAATAATTGCAAAACGTGCTTGCAGGACCCCAAAAGCTCGTTCAACATCTTTTCCGACGGATTCTTGACATTTAGCAAACAATTTTGCCTTCTCACCTTGTGGCCCTGGAATTGATTGGACAAAAGTTGCCCACTTTGGATAAATACCGTCTGTGAGATAGTATGCCAAGCGGTATTGACGTCCGGTGACCCAGTAAGAAACTTTTGGTGCTCGACCTTGTAAAACATCATCGAAAACAGGTGAGCGATCGAGTACATTGATATCGTTTAATGTACCTGAATATCCAAAAAACACGTGCCATATCCAAAGATCCTTTGATGCTACGGCCTCTAACACAATTGTCGGTTTTCCTGAACCACGTGTATATTGCTTTTTCCATGCGGTAGGGCAATTCTTCCACTCCCAATGCATACAATCAATGCTTCCTATTATCCCAGGAAATCCGCGCCTCTCTCCATCATCAAGTAATCGTTGCAGATCTTCTGGGGTGGGTCTTCTTAGGTATTCTTCCCCGAATACATTGATGATGCCTTGAACAAAATTTTCCAAGCACCTAAGTGCATTTGTTTCACCGAGGCGTAGATATTCATCAACTACACCAGAAGCACAACCATACGCCAAAATACGAATTGTTGCCGTACATTTTTGTATTGCAGATAGACCGAACCTTCCAGTAGCATCTCTTTTTTGTTTAAAGAAAGAAACTTCTTGGGAGAGTCTATCGACGATATGCATGAAAGCGGCGTCTGAACATATGTGGCAGAGATATTGCATCTTCTCGGAAGTAGTCGTTCCACAACTGTTAATGGCCTATTTCACATTCTCTTTCAATGTAGGCTCGTTTCTTCTTTGCCTTTGTTGGTGCTTGATACGCCAAAGCATTATCAATAGCGGTATCAAACATATTCTCAATTGTTTGGTCGAATAGTTCATCAATACTATCATCAAGCGAATTCTCAAAAAAATTGTTTGATGAGGATGCCATATTGGTTTGTTATAAGGGAAAAGAAGAAGAGAAGATATAGATGGAGGTTGTATTGAAATCAAAGGAGAGATTTACAACAAAAGATGGAGGTTGAAGTATGGAAAAGAAGAAGAGAAGACATACTACTTTGAAAGCGTCTAAACTTGTATATATAGAAGAAAGTTTGGAAATAATTACAAGACATGTGGTACATTGTATCCGTGACCCCAATATGTGGTGTAGAAAATAGTGACTTTCACAACAAATTCAAACCAAGTAATTTGAGTCAGCCATATACTATTACAAAACAGAGCAAACGACAAATCAGAACCAGCTTTTACACGTGAATGTGAGTCAGCCATTATCCTCTCTTTGTGCCTCCAAACCCGTGACCTACAACCACAAAGTGAAAGATACCATCAAAAGCAAAAGATATTCAAAACACATAAAATTGACAAAGGCATTAAGCAAAAGATATTCAAAACTATTTACGAGAAGACATTAAGCAACCAAATGCATTAACAAACATAAACACAAAGTACTTATTACACAAACAGAAAACTTAGACACCACCATAGTTCTTAAACACACCAAACTTCAACACAACTAAACATAAAGTACTTATTACACTTTCCGATTGAATAATTATGACAAAATATCATTGATTAGCTTGTCTTTAAGTTTCAGTTCTTTTTCAGTCAATGGCTCGGATTTAGCAAGTAGATTTTCAAGCAGCTTCTTGTTTGAGAGCTTGTCCTTCATTTCCATATTTTGTTTCTTGATTTCCATATTTTGTTAATTGATTTCCCACACATTCTATAGATGCGTAAGAGCTTTCTCGGCTTCTAGCTCAGCTTTTGTGGTTGATGCACTCTTCTTAACTTTAGCTGCAGCTTTTGCAGCCTTAACTCCAATCGGACGTGTCTCTGATTCATCTTCTAACACGACTTTCTCTTGGCAGCTTGCTGAATGACCAACACACTCATCCGTCTTTCTTCTCTTGCTTGAAACCTTTGAGCACCATTTCTGGTCATAACGCAACTCTCTCCAGGCGTGTTCTAGTGTGAACTTCACTTGGTAATCGTTGTAGAAGATCTCGTGTGCAGCCTTCATCACATCGGTTTCATTTTGTCCGCTTCTCTGATCCTTAACGGCGGCTTCATAACAACCGACGAACTTACAAACTTGATCGTTCAGCCTCCCCCATCTTTGTTTGCATTGACTCGCCCCTCTGGCTTCTGGACCACTGAGTTCGAGACTTGAGTTGAAGTAAGCCTTTATCCTCTTCCAAAAAGACCCAAACTTTTGCTCATTGGAGACCACAGGGTCTTTGCTGGTATTCAACCAAGCTGAAATGAGCACCACATCCTCCTTTGCTGTCCACGGCCTTTTCTGCTTACGGTCTTCAACATGTGCACTTGGATCATCCGAACCTTGGCTACTGAACCAAGGTAGTTCAGATGATCCAAGGTTTATAGTTTGGGGAAAACTATATGGTGTTTCTTCTTGGCTAGTTAGTAAATTTACAAACCCCTGAGAGGTTGTAAATGGATTAGGAGAATCCATTTAGAGGTTGAGGAAGTTCAGAAAGCTTAAGTACGTTTGAAAGTTTGAAGTTTAGAAGTTTGAAAGTTTGTATGTTGGAAGTTTTAAGTTTTTTAGAAAGTTTAAGTATTTGTTAGAAGTTTACGTAAGCGTTTATGGTTAAAAGGGTCTTCGAGATTCAATGCAAAACATTTATTCACAATAGCTTTAACTACTAAACCTACCAAGCATTGAAAACAACCCCCATACCAATTATAACTCCTAAACCTACCAACCATTTACAGCTAACAACCATTTAACAAGCAAATAGAGAAATGAAGTGACTGACCTTTAAATGTTGAGTGTTTGAAGCCTGTTGAGGACAAGTCCATCTTCCCATTAAATGCAAAACGTGTTGTTCTCTCTCTATATCACCTCGCAGGCTGGCACAATAAAACGCTTTCAGCAAAACCATGTAAAGCATGTAACTAAACCCTAACAAATACCTATCAGATTCTAACTACTATTTAGGATGCAACAGAACTAACCTGATTTGAAGACCGTCGATGACAAATCCATTCCCATTCAGATGCAGTGTCAGAAAACGAGCTTGAATATTCAGTAGCGTTTGAGTCCTCTTCGTTTACACATACTCTTATTTCACATCGAAACCTATCATAGTGATGCTCCTCTAGCTTATTACCTGAAGATTAAAGACTGTGAGTGCCTGTGCTATAACATACAGTTTAATAAATATAACACTCAGCTAGCAAAATAGAACTAATCAAGCAAGATAATATCTTACTATCATAATCCGAATCAAGCAAGGTAAACATCAAAATCGAATTACTTAATAATCGAACAAGCTAGTAAGTTCATAAGCACATAATAGTTAATAAGCATCTCAAATCAAATTCAAAATCGAATCATAGATGTTATCGATTTCGCTAATTACTTAATAAGTTCTAAATCCGATTTCGATGCAAATACACTAACATATACAGATATACTAAATAATCAAACTACCTATAACTCGATGCAACCACATAAACTCTAAAATTTTCCCCAATTTTGAAAACCCTAATTTTCCCCAAATTTGTAAACCCTAATTTCATTCAAATTAACCACAACCAAACGAACAATACAATGAGGAATAGCCGATTACATACCTTTTCAAAGCCATTTCGTCGATTCTGACTAACAATCGGCGAACAAAAGAAATGAGAATGGAAATCAGGAAAACCCAAGAAATCAGAGAGATTAAACGGGTTATAAAAGAAACGAGAAAGGAAGAGATAAAGAGGTGATGACAGAACGGCCACGGAGGTCAGATCGTCTCCGATTTACGGCGATGAGTCCGCTCGGAGGAGATGCGAAAGAAGGAGAGACTTTGAAGAGTTGAGAAAAAATTTTCGAGAAAGAAAAAGATGAATTTTTCTCTAAGTGTGAGAATGTACTCGACAAAATTTTTTCCCAACCCAAACCAATAAAATGCTGCCACGTTAGCGTGAACCCCTCTTTAAACCAGTCTCCAAAAAGTCTAAAATTAGAACCGGATCAATACAAAATGAGCTTTATTGAATTATTTTTAATGCAAAAAATCAGTGAACCTCATCTAAAAACTCCCATCAAACCTCCGTTACAGATGCTTTAAGATGTATGAATTCTTTTCTCTTGTGACTTTCTAAAGTTTGAGAAGGTGATCATTGCAGCGGCAGATATAACTATATTTTTATCTTTTTTACATTCGGTTTTTTAGCACTTTAATAAATATTTCACTCGATTTTCAAGGTTTTTACTATATAATTTTAGGATATTTGTAATGTCAAAACTTTTTTCAGGTTATCACAGCGTGCTATAAAAATGCATCCAATTCTCGATGGCCATATCTGTGAGGAATCCATCGAAAAAGCTTTTTAGAGGGGCTTTTTATGGATTTGACCGACAGGACTATCCCTTCTTGGAGTACATGCCAAGTGACCAGTAACTGGATTTTTTGTTAATTTTACCGAACATATATATAGTTTTCCTTTTACTATATTTTTGAATTTACCACATTATACTATTTTGTGAATCTTTACATATTAAATCGTTTGAAATAAAAAAAATAATTGAATTTTGGCATACTAAATACATTATTAATAATATCAGATTTATTATTTTAAAATAGGAGTGCCAAATGGTCTAATAGGAACAGAGTAAAATCTTTCTTTGATTTCATGATGGTAAATTTGGATATTTTTTTTACCAAAACAAATAATAACAAATTTGCATATATATGGATATATTAATTATGATGTATTACCATATATTAATTCATTCTTTCTTTTACATAAAATGAAAGTGCAGGCCAAAGTGAACAATAGCTGAATTTATTGTTAACACACAATAACTTCATTTGAGAAATTGATTTCATAATGGTAAATTTGGATATTTTTGACCCAAAAATGGAAACAAATTTGAATATATCTTTTATAATTTTTTTGACATATTAATTATGATATAATAATTAGAAATGCAGGGGACATACGATATGATGATGGGCTGCAATTCTGGTTTACAACTAGACAAGTTTGAAATTTTCATGTTCATATTTTTTTGATTATTTTTGATTTTGTTAAATCAAAGTTGTAAGCAACAGTTATTTTATTCTTTTGAATATAATTTAACATTAGATTAAAAAAAATACGATATGGCTTTGTTTAGTTGTTTTGTTATGTCCCTTTCATAAATTACATTATCGTTTTTCTCTATGTTTACGTTTTAAGAGTTCCATCCAAATAATTTTATTTGATTGTGAGATGAGATGTGTAATAATACTATAGAAATCGACACCAGGACTTGATCCAACAGTTTAATTAGGGAGAACAACAACAAGACACGAAAGAAGAAATCAAAAGAAAGGAAAATAGATTCTTGTAACCCTCAGAAGGCAAATGTTTCAAGTGTTTTTTGTAGTACCTTTAACCAGTGTTTCTCATTCCTGCAGCGATACCATTGATTGTGATTAGCAAAGCATCTCTAAGCTTATTGTTATCTTCATCGCATCTTAGCCTCTTAAGTACTTCAACTTGTAACATGTTCATTGCGTTAAGATACGGAAGTCTACTCTCTATGAGTTTCTTTAAGCTCTTGTTGCTCTCCAAGAGTTTCTCACGGCCGGTTATCTCAAGCACATACTTCTCAGTAGTCATCAATTCTTTCCTCAACATGTCACCAAGTCCTCTTCTGTTCTCAGAGACAAGTTGTTCGTCGTAGTGTTTGGTAATAGGAATGTCTGCTTTAGCTAACACCATCTCTATAAGATCAATGGTGGACTGAAAAAACGGCCACTCTTTGTACATCTCCTGAATATCGTCCGCATAACCCTTCTCAGAGACTCCCTTTAGACCAGCTCCTACACCGAGCCAAGCTGGAAGAACAAATCTTGTTTGTGTCCAAGCAAAGACCCAAGGGATAGCTCGAAGATGCCCTATGCCAGTAGAGCTGTTTCTTCGAGCTGGTCGGCTTCCTATGTTGAGATAACCGAGCTCAGCCTGCGGTGTTGCCTCGTGGAAATAGGAGATAAACTCTGGATTCTCGTAGACCGTGCTTCTGTAGTTTTGGCAACTGATCTTTGAGATTTCTTCCATTAGGTTCCTCCATTTTTCCTCTCGTGGCGGTTGTGGAGGCTTTAAGGTAGCGAGCAGAACTGCGGTTGTGTATATCTCTAGTTGTCTAACAGCTGTTTGTGGTATCCCAAACTTGGCTTGAACCATCTCGCCTTGCTCAGTGGAACGCAAAGTGCCCTGCCCAAACCATTACAATAACCCATCAATGAATAGTTTTGACATGTAGTCTAACCAAAAAAAACAAAGTACATGGAAACTGACCATTACAGAGCCTGGTGGTTGGGACTGAATGGCGAGATAGGTCGGGCCACCACCACGACCAATACTTCCTCCTCGTCCATGGAACAAAGTGACTTTGATGCCAAATTCATTACAAGCAGCCACAACATCTTCTTGAGCTTTGTAGAGTTCCCATGCTGCAGTAAACCGTCCAGCATCTTTTCCTGAATCAGAATATCCAACCATGACCTGCACGTAAACATATTGTTACAAGTTTTTAGAAGCCTTCTTCTCCACACAAACAAAAACATTAAAAAAATGGTTGACTATTATAATGAACCTCTTGGTGACCATGGTGGTTCTTTTGGATGTGTTCTCTGTACCAATCGATTGAAAGCAATTTCCTTATCACAGAACCAGCAGCTCTTAAATCCTTCACCGTCTCAAAAAGTGGAACCACTCGCAGCCTATTACAGAAATCTCGAACAATACATTAAGCTATAGAAAGTATGAAAATTGTCTAATATTTGGGCTCGAAATTTAGCTCACGTTCCACCAGGGCATGGCTTTCCATGTTCGCTAGTGACAGCAAGTCGAGTATCTTTTTGCAGAAGCTCCACAGCGAGGACATCACTTGCCTACATGTTACCAACAAATCAATGTCATTGTATTTGTTTTCACATAACTTAGCTACATTTTACTCTAAAGAAATCAAAGCAAACATACATTTGAAGCCATTGAAATCACATAAGCACCAAGTGATTCACTTCCAAACTCAGCAGCAACTCGGAATGTGTCCAATACTTCTTTAACTTCAGGAACAACCTACAAAATTAGATAACACAATGAATATATATATATATACATATATTATAGCAATTTTTTTTTAATATACATGCATGCTGACCTCAATAGTCGGAGGAACAAGTGGTCGTTTCCCCTTAAGTTCTTTTGTCAAAAAATCTAGTTTCTTCTCTTCATCCCATTCACTATAAGTACCAAGATCCAAGTATGTTGTAATTGCATTCAAAGCTTCAGAATGCCTTCCAGATTCCTAGTATATAAAGATGAATCATATATACATTACAAGAGTAAATTCACTAAACAAGAAAACCAAAAACAGTTGGACTATAGGAGATAAGCACCTGGCGTAAGTCAAGTTTCACTAAAACCATGCCAAAGGTAGAAACTCTACGGATCAGATCAGCAAGTCTCCCATCAGCTAGTACACCAGCACCAGATGATTGCTGAGAAAAACAATGATGTTAAAGATAACTGATTTTGATGGGAATTATTACCACTTTTACATGGAATTAAGATCTTTACCAGAGATTCGTAGCAGAGGAGCAGTGGTTCCAGAAGTTGTTCTGATGTTTCATAAGATACCATTGGGTCATATTCACAAGGAAGACCCTCAAGTAGAAGTTCAAGAAGTTTTCTTGTCTTCACAAGCTAAGATCACAAAAATATAAAATTTGGGAATCAGTAATTAAATGAATCTTTATACTATATCATGATTAAAAGTCTTAGGATATGCACCTTGTCCTTTACTTCTCCAAGAACAATACGGTAAGGAGCCATTCCGGCTCGTTTAAGTGGAGGTGGTTCTAGTAGCTTTTGAAAACTGGCCCTCCCAACTTGAGACTCTGCAAATAGTTTCCTTTGGAAGAGAAGTTGAGAGGTAGATGAGAAAGAACCTCGTGAAGTAAGACCTGGCTGAGTTTCATCAGTGGTTTGCTTCGAATCCATCTTCGGAGAGCCTTGTCCATTCTGCTTCTATAATAAAAGAGAAAAATATCAACTGACTCTTCAAGAATGATAAACTCAACCAAACTATGTCTACATGTTCAAAGGGCTTTGTTTTACCTGAAGATTGGGTGGCATAAAACCTGTCGTTGTACTTATCTCAAATTTAGGATGTTGTGAATCACCATATTCTGCAATGAAATGAGATATAAAAAGATGATTGCATGAAAATTTGTGGATGTTATGTCAATTATTTATTACCAATGCAAAATTTAAGAATTTTTGTTTTTTTTACCAATGCAAGAAGGAAGGTGAGCTCTAGCTGGAAGCTGTGTTGGCAGGGATGAGTTTTGTTGGTTCAAGAAATTTGATTGGCCTCTGTCAGAATCTTTTTCAAAACTTTCTGAGGGTAGCAAACATCAATTGTTTAAGGTTTTAGAGAAAGTAGGAATGGGAAAAAAAAAAAGTAAAGATTCAACAGAAAATGATGGAACCATACCTTTTTCAAGAATTTCATCTGCTAATCTTGAAAATCTGTCACTGCATCGATCTGTAGACAACTCGAATCTTAAGCTATCAACTTCTCTTATGTACATATCAATAGCCATCCACCTAGACAATAGAGATACTTCTTTCGTGACCTGGAAAAAGGATATCACAACATTCAAGTGTGACTAAGGGAATATATGGCAGCTAAATTTTGTGATTGCAACGTTTAAGTAAACTAAATTCATTTTTCTCCATGTATAAGTAAGTTTTAGGAACTTCATATTGAAAATGAGATGTAGTCTAGAATAATATATCAGAAACATGGACAATATATATGATATTCGGTTTGAGTTTGAGACCCACAAAAAAATAAACATGATCGTAATAACCTTTGCTGTGACATTTGGGTTTCCATCTCTATCACCTCCCATCCAGGAACCAAACTTTATAGGAGTGCATGTTAACGGAAGTGGCTTCCCTGTGAACTAAACAAAAATAATACAAAATATCATGATTAATTATTCAGATTTTTCCTTAATATATATAAGAAATCTTAGTAAGATATACAATACCTTCTTCAAGGAATTGCTGACACGACGCAAGTAATGTGGTACAGCTTTCCAAAGAGATTGCTCAACAATGTTAAGACCTGATGAATCAAAAGGGACAAAACAAATTATAATATGGTATCTCAACTGAAAATTTTCAGAAATTTACAAATTCGATTTAACATACCAGCTCTAGCTTCATCGACTGGAGTAGGTTTTTGACGTCTAAGCTCATCAGTCTGCCATAGTGAAGTTATCTCCCTAACCTTTAAAATATTGTTACTTTATAAATTTTTCTTTCTTTTAACACAAACAAAAAAAAAGAATAATAATATGATAATAATTATAATCAAAAAGAAGATACTGCGATGGAAGATTACCAAATCTTCAATGAGTGTTTCTCGATCTTCATGGCCTAGATCTGATCTACTGTTGTATTCAAGAAGATGCTGCAAGGCGTTTATGATTTAAAACCCTAAAGTATATATAGTTGAAGATAGAGAGGTAATAGTAATACATGTCAACAACAGAAATAGAAACTTACAGCAATTCTGACATGCTTGTATTGTAAGGTTCGCCGATTAATTTGGGTAGGATGAGCAGTAAGAACAATTTCGACCTCCTAAAGGCGATAAAAGAAATAATCAAGAATCAAACTGAGGAAACAAACAGATGACATAAATATGTGACATATACATGTATTAGAAACATTTGAATCGTTATTAAAAAAAATGTGATATAATATATGAAGTTGACCTGCTTGCAAACTGTTTGGTAAAGCTCGTCTGGCGAAATTCCACTTTGCAATAGCTGACTGAATATATCATCACAGGATCTTGAAAGCTGTGTAACGTTTATGACTTTATGCATTCTGGAAGAGAAAATAAAAAGTAGCTTTATTGTTATACTACCAAATCTGTTAATGCATGTTCATAACTTGTGAATATATGTGTTGTAATGTTTTTTTTTAAAAGATCATTACCTGTGATGAGTGTCTGCAATGCCCATTAAGTTAAGAGAATGAGTGAATGCACGTGCAAGTGTCAATGCTTCCTCCAGTGGCATTTTAGATATTTCACTAGTCAGTTGCTTCTCCAAAAGGTTTGCGGTGTCCTCGATACCAGCCAAACGCAAATGTAACGCACTCTGAAACGTTTTAAACCACACACAAAAAAAAGGAACTTATTTTTTTATCTAAGTCCCAAGCGAACTATTAGTGAAGTGGTAGCAATTTAAAATGGTAGCAATTTAAAATGGATCCAAATTTTTCTTTTCCTTTTCAAACCTCAATATAACCAAATCGCAATTTTGATCATTCACTTTCTGTGTTATTTTCTTTTTTTTTTTGTAAATGGCGATGACTAGTTGAATAACAGAATGGTTGAACATAATAAAATAGTGAAAATATTTGAGATGAAAAAAAATTATTTTGAATAATCACAAAAATAAGTATTTTTTATACATGCATAATATATAGTGGAATAACTTTCAAACGTTGAAAACATAAAAACTTAATGAATGATGTCAATGACAAAAAAAAAATATATATATATATATATAGATATATATATACCATAATTCATATTTTCACAACTAGTATATTATTTATCAACAATGTGACAAAGAGATGCATTCGTTATCGCTTATCGGAAACAAAGAATGGAATAAACCAATATTAAGGAGAGAAAGAAAATGGAAACATAAAACAAACTTGAGCGAGGATTCGAATGCGTTCGATTTTCTCCATGAATGAGCTTCCGACTTCTCTCTGTAACACATCATGGAAGAGACTGCCGAGCAACTTGCAATCATCTTCGAAGCTTTGGAACGAAATCTCCTCTGCGATATCATCTGTTGTGTCCGTCATTGTAATGAATGAGGAATGTTAGTGTAATAGTGATCCAAAGTTAAAATATTACAACGACTGATTTATGTTTTTTTTTTAAGCTATGAGTCTTACTAATTTTCTTACACCCTTTTGATGCAACCATTCGCTGACACCTGGTGGTCAACGCAGTAAATTATGGCGCAGTTAACTTTGTGGTGCTACTTCTCTTTCCCGTAATAACCTGAAGACTATTCTTCTTTCTTTGCAAACTTTAGTTTTTTTGTTTTAATTCTTTTTCTTTAAACAATAAAATAAAAACAAAAATCTGCGAAAATTTCCAAAGGACTAAGTAATAAATTCATACATGATTTTTCAAAGTAATAAATTCATACTGTCATTTTGCTCATTTTAAGTTCTTCCATTCCATTATTATTGAACAAATGATTTGTTATGATAATTAAGTGAGAAGAAAAAAAAACAAACAAAAATGAAGAAAATGAATACTACACGTTCTGGGCTCTAGCCTTCAATCATAACTACACATTTGGGCCATAAGACCCATTAACAATATCTAAAAATAAAGATACGACGCCGTTCGATACAATTAGTCAATTCAGTAAACCGCTATTTATTAAAAAACAAAAATCGCGACGAGACACGAGGAAGCGTTTCACTGCGACGACGGAAATAAAATGGAGACAAGAGGAGCGACGCCGAGAGTCGCGGTGGTGGTTTTCCTTCTCAAGGGCAATTCGGTGTTGTTAGGGCGGCGCCGCTCCTCAATCGGCGACTCCACTTTCGCTCTTCCCGGCGGCCACCTCGAATTCGGTCTCCTTCTCTCTCTCTCTCTCAATTTCTCTCAAACCCTAAGTCGCGTTTCTGCGAAATTCCAGCTAAATCTTCGTTAGATTTTGAGCAGGCGAGAGCTTCGAAGGATGCGCGGCGAGAGAATTAATGGAGGAAACGGGGATAGAGATTGAGATAGAGAAGATGAAGCTATTGACTGTAACAAACAACGTCTTCAAGGAAGCACCGAAGCCGTCGCACTACGTCACTGTGTTCATGCGTGCGACGGTGGTGGATGCGAGTCAGACGCCGCGGAATCTGGAGCCGGAGAAGTGCGAAGGATGGGATTGGTACGATTGGTTGAATCTTCCAACGCCTTTGTTCTGGCCGCTTGAGAAAATGGTGAGAAGCGGTTTCAATCCGTTTTGTGATTAATTTGGAATCAAATGCTTCAAAAATGGGCATTTGGTCTAGTGGTATGATTCTCGCTTAGGGTGCGAGAGGTCCCGAGTTCAATTCTCGGAATGCCCCTCTCTTCTCCTTTTATTTTTAACTTAATTTTGTGTGTTGTTGGTCCCTATTTTTCCTTATTATGACCCTTTTTTTGGTTGAGTTCCTTAATATGACTTATTGTAGAACATGTTTGGTACATGGATAATGTATTGTGTTATTAATCTGAAGTTTAGCTTCATTATTGTTGCCAGAAAAAAAAAAGTTTCGCTTCATTATACTATATATCTTCTTGGACTTGCTTGCTTGGTGTGTATTTATTAAGTATTATATGAGAAAGACAAATGATACAATACAAATGTATTTGGTATGTAATTATTAAGTATATATTTACAACTTTTAGCAGTTCGAGTGTCTGCTCTTCAAAGAGACTGAAACTTACCAATTTCTTTTGAAGATTTTGGTTGAAAAGAATGATTAATTGAAGATAAAGTTGTTATCTTCATGAGATTATGACATTAAGTAATGAACATGACAAGATTTATACTAGCATGTGTTTGATTAAGCGTCTGATACGTGATGCATATGAAGAATCGTATGGAAGATGCTTAATTAGAAGTATAAATTAAAAACAGGGCTAACAAGCTTAGTTCGTTTCTTGATCTCGTATTTATATGGCCATCATAACCTTTAATTATATATTAGTCCATTAAGAAAACCAGTAGTATATACTGACGTATGCAAGTATGTACAAAGAGTATATCCTGTGTCACTATGTTGATCTTCTGTGTAACTATGTTGATCTGATTTACAAAACAGAACCAAAAATACATTGAATAAACCAAAAATAAAATCAGCGAGGAAGAGAATCAACGAGGAATGGGAACTCCTTTGGTTATTGGACAAAACTAGTTCCACCATTTTTAGAAGATTTTGTTTAAAAGGAAAAACAGAGTTCTACGGTGATTAATTCAAGATTAAGTTTTTATCTTTGTGACATAATTAAAGAACATGACAAGATTGATACTAACATTTCTATCAAAAGATTGATAATAACATGTAGTTTGATTTGTGTCTGATATGTTTGATGCATATGAAGAATCGTAAGGTAGATTTTTAACTAGAAATATAGATTAGAAACAAGGCTAACAAGCTTAGTCCGTCGTTTCTTGATATTTACATGGTCATCATTCATGACTTTAAACATATATTAGTCCATATATATAGACGTATGCAAATATATACAAAGAGTATATCCTACGAAACTATTGTTGATCTGATCTACAAAATTAAACCCAAAAAAGAACATTGAATAAACAAAACAAAAAAATAGTAATGAAATCAATGAGGAAGAGAGTCAACAAGAGAGTTGTGTCTCTTAGAAGGAGCAGAAGGAGGAATGGGAACGCCTTTGGGCAAGTAACCAAAAATATGGTTGTATTTAAACCCTAAGCTCTTACTTTTCTTCATCTTCTTCATCTCCATCGTGGCTCCGGTTCTTGCAGCAGCCACACAAGAACTACTCGCCGCCAGAAACAGAACAAGACAGAGAAGAACCATCGCACGACGCGGAGCCATTTGACAATAACTGTTTTTCTCTTCCTTTTTTTTTTTTAATGTCACTTGCTCTTCCTTAAGTTATGAATGAAATGAATAATGTGTAAATGTATGTGTATATATATTATATAACATGTGTGTGTGAGTTTTATGGGAATGTGGCGGAAATGAGGGGGAAAGAGTGAAATGGTGAGAGAGGAGTGAATCATACGCTAATGAGACTTTGAAAATTTTCGTTATTATTTTAAAATCGAAATTTTAGAGAGCGAGTTTTTCTTGTTTATGTCCTTTTCTCTGAGTTTTAGTCGCCGCCTTCGACTTTTATTTATTTTCTATAATTGTTTTTTAATAGAAGTCCATTTTATACTTATAAATGGGAATCTGGTTTGAAATGACCGTCGTTTTTTTCAAGATTTTATATTTTATTATTGTACAACTTCGTTGACGAGATTATTTAATTGTTTTATGGGACATCATCACTGTTCCTTTTCTAGATTCAACTTTCAACAGTTGTGAAATCATAAGACGTATGAATACTGGAATCGTAAAGCAAGATTAGATTTTCCATTTCGTATAAATATCATACATCTTGTGAAATTACTGTTACATCTTGAGATTTCTTGGGATAACATCCTTAGAAAATAAGATAATCATAATACGAAAAAACTTTGTTTTATCAAACTCATTTATAGAATTAATTAACTTCGTGCTTTGAACACTTGTATCTATACATATTGATATGTATTACTGTATAACTCTCTTGTATGAAAGGTACTGAAAATTCATGCAGAAAACACGTAAAGACAATGTATACCGACTATATCTTTTGCGTGAGAAGGTATTTTAAGAAATGAAGATAAAAAAAGTAGTTTGGAGAGAGTTGACTCCCTTACTATATTATTTGACGGCTTGACATGTGGCTTTATGATGCACATTTTTGTATTGATTTACTCCATTTTTGATTTGGATATCCACCTGATTTCTTCATCTAATATGGACTTATTCACGAAAATTGCCTTTTTCCTTCTTTTGAATAGACTTTTCTCTGTATTTTACAAAATGCCAAAACAAAACAAAGTTGAAACATACCTCCTACGTTTAGACATGTCGCAAAAAGTCATACACTTCTACTTTGATGAAATATCATCTTTTCTAATTATTTTTTCGAATAATAATAATTTTGAATCCTTCTATTACTAAAATTACCAGTAATCTGATCAGTTTGCAGTTTTTTTGTTGTTTTGTTTTACTTATACGTGCCTATTAGTATTATGTTTGATACTTGAAGGCATTACTACTAGTAACAAAAACTGAAAAAAAAAAAAGAATCAAACAAGATATATTGGCTGTAAAGTCGGATAAATACATGTTGAAAAAAGACCACAGCTTTCAAGTTCCAACTAATCTTGAGCTCCAAGATTGACCAAGTTCGCCACACCAACCCTTTGATTTAAAAACGAGGGTTTTGATATCTGTCTTACGCCAAAGTATCCTCCTTTATTCTCTTGCATCGGTTAACTCCAAAAGGAACATGATCACCAAGGTTCTTGCTTTCATCTCCGTGGTAACAAAGATTAGGGTTTCCCCAAACACCAAGTCTCCTTCCCATCCTCTCATAGAACATTCTAGAGAACTCAAGCTCTCCACTGATGTTATTTCCGTTTACATAGAGCGCACTGAGACTAGGCATTTCGGTTTCCATTTCCCGAATGAGTTTGCCTCTGAGATTGTTGTTGCTTAAACCCAAGAACCTCAGTTTCTTGAGCTCCAAGATTGACCTAGGAATCTCCCCTTTTAGCCCTGTGTTGGAGAGATCCAAGACCACCAAATTCTTCAGACTTCTCCACTCTATTCCTGTTAAGTCCCCGGCAAGATGGTTATTGGACAAAACAAGCTCTACTAGAGAGCTCATCTCTTGGATCTCTTTAGTCAACCCACCCGAGAATCTGTTGTTCCTAAGGTCCAAAAGAGTCAGATTCTTTAAAGACTGTAGCTCTTTAGGTAACTTTCCTTCCAAGTTATTGTTACTAGCATCGAGCTTCAGCAGTGAATTTAATCCTCCAAGGCTCAAAGGCAACGATCCAGAGAAGAAGTTCCTGCTAAGATCCAATATCAATAATCCGGTTAATCCGTAGACCTCTGGTATTCTCCCTGTGAACTGGTTTCCAGACAGTACTAAGCGTCTCAGTCTGGTTAACTTCGCTACATTCTCTGGCAATGGACCTGTTAACTGGTTTTCTAGCACAACAAGAGATTCAAGATTGGTGAGGTTAGTGATGAAAGAAGGTAGTTCACCGATCAGTCCTGGGTTTGATCTGATCTCAAGTGTCTCCAAGTTCTTAGAGAGATCCATCCACTTCTCATCTGAAATTGAAGCTAGATATTGGTTTGGTGATGTGAAACAGTGGAAAAGAGAGAGAGACTTGAGGTGCTTGAGCTCAAAGAGTTGTGGTCTGATTACTGGAATCTCAGCACAAGCTAGAGAGTTGTCTCGCATAGTCCCAAAGCTTAAAGCAGTCACATACCAAAGATCATCATACACATCACAAGTCACACCCTGCAAAGACAAGAAAAGAATTGGAAATTTGACCCCCAAAAAAACTAAATATTTAAATGTTATGTTGCACCAAAAAGGAAGGTTTGTTGTTAGACCGAAGCTAATTATTAAAAGTTATCCAACGGTCAAGTCACACACCAAAATGGAACAGAGGAATTTTGACTACTAATTTTTTAATAAAAGTAAGTAAAAAAATCTTTTTTTTCTATCTTCTGGCTTCAAGTTACATCATGCGTAAGCACACAAATTTACTTTTTCATTTCAAAATTTTTGATCGGCTTCCTAATTCAAGAATCATAAATATGCTTAATTTTCCTTCTCTTTCATTATTGGTAATTTTTGGTTGTTCTTGAAAAGACACAAATGAGATCATAGGAGAATTATGAGAGAAAGGACCTGGATCGGAGTCCAACCACAAGGGTCAGGAAAAAGATAAGAGCCATTCCAAGAGTCACCAACAAATCCTTGAATGGTAGAGTAAAGAGCAGCTTGCTCTGTTTTCTCCATGGGACCTCCTTCACTCTCCTCTGTTTCTGCCTTGCTCCAATCCACCACCAAACACCATACACATAGTAAACAGACCAAATGTTGCTTCTTTGTGAATCTAAGCATCTTCATTGAGGCTATAGTGAGAAGATACAAGAGAATATGAGGAAAAAAAGGTGTTGTGTGAATTTTATCTGTATTGGAATTATTCCACTTGTTGCATATGTTTCTATCAAGGAAAGCTATTTATAAAATAAAATAAAATTAAAAAAATCAAAGAGAATGAAGAATTTTGGTTGGTGTTTGAAGCAAATGTTGGAAGTTGAAAACAAAGCTATCACCACAATAGGTTATGGGACCCTATTGAAAACCATGATCAATGTTGGTTGATATGTATACAAGATTTGTTCAAGAAAACATCCCTTGAAGTCTTTTTACTCCTAAAGAGATTAGTTTGAGACAAAGAAGTATCATAAGAAATATAGAGAAAACTTAGAGGTTTCTTGCCAAGGGAGACCCAAGAAAGAACAAGAGAGGAAACGCCAAATCTGTTTCTCTGGCTTATGATTACATGTAGCACAGCTGTCAGTGTATATATATACACATATATAAGACCTACAATATGACAAAAATGAAATTTTGGGTTAAATCCAAATATTTGACAAAGACTTAAAGAAAATGTAACGGATCTTATAAAGTTACAATCTTTTTATCATGTTTATGGCAGTTTTATGGTTGCCTTAATCCATAGAATATGAGCAAATCGGAGTAAGTTGTAAAGTTATAGGGGTATATAGCCAGAGATTTAGACAACGACTAATCATTAGCAATTAAACTTATAAAACAAAATCTTTAAAAGCAAGACACAGTTATCAAAGCAGAGAAAAAAATAAGAAACAATAATGGTAATGAAAATGATAACAAGAGAGATAGGTCGAGTGAAAGCGAAAGTCAGAGAAGATCGACTCTTTTTTAAGAGGACTCTGTTAATTCTGCAGCCTCCAGATTTTTTGTATTTTCTTGAGAGGTTTCTGAAAAAAAAACAACTTTTATCAAGTGTCCTTTTCTTAAAAAACAGTTATTATATCTATTGCAAAAGAATAATATATGTATATATACATACACGGCGACAGAGGGTTAAACTAAAACTTAAAACTCTAAGGAACTCAAAAGGAGGAAGCTTGATTGGTGGTTAGAACTGATGAGTAATGTTTAGTTGATTTGAAATTTAGTTAATTAAGAACATTAAGAGAATGGATTCATGGTTAATTCAGAGTCGTAGAACCTTGCAAGAAAGAATTAGTGTGGACATTTTTTAAGAGAGTGTAATGAAGAGTGAGAGATGCTCTTGCATGGCCTTGTTTCCTTTGGACCACACTCTTTTGTCTTAACATTGAAAGGTGAGGCATATCTACTATCTACTCACTATAAATCTATCCATTAAAAATTGAAATCTTGGTAAGATCCTACATCTAAGCCGTGTAGTCCTTTTCTTCTTTTTACCATTTTGTGTTTTGGAATTATATTTTTCTTTTTTTTTGTTTGGTGATTTTTAGGCAAACATAACCAAAAACAGATGTCAGACCCATGACATGACAATGAATTGTGTAACTTTGTTTCTTACCTCAGAATCTTGTTTGGTTTCCATGAACACCAGTACTCTTACCTATGGAGAACATGTTAGAATCAAATGTTGCATTTCCTACAATGCCCATAGCTTCCAAGACTTCGCTTCCTTTTTGATTTAGTTACTTAGAAAGAAAGTAAAGTTTTAAGATAACCAACACATAACAAGAAGTTTTAATTTTTCTCTGGAAAATCCTACTTGTGGGATAGTTTTTGTCTTTTATAGAAAGAAAGAGGGAGAAAATGATTAGATTGTGAGAAAGGCCCAAATCTTTTTTCCTATGGAAGCCTCGTCTGGGCGCTCTGTTTCTTCTTCTTCCTCTTCTCCTTTGTTCTCCTCTTCAATCATACTGATATTCCCATCATCCTCTTTTTTTTCACCGCTGCTTCCTGCTTCAAACTGTGGATCTTGGACTGGCCTCTTTCCCCTATTGTCATTCTTGAACTCGGTCTCTGCTTCAACCTGTATAATGTCCATGGCTCAGAATGATTAACATCGCCACATGTTCCCCTCAAAACAGAAAGAAAGAACATTTGAACATGCTAGAAAAGAATTCAAGTGATGGAGATGATCTAATTCGATGTTTCAGTAAAAAAATCATACCTTAACAATTTCCTCATCTGATGTTTTTGAATCTCTAGACGCAGCTTTTGTTGCCTGCGGTCTTCCTCTAACAGACTTACTCCTACCTCTACCACGCCTAGATTTATCACTCTTTATCTCTGATTGCAGGGAAACTTCAGGACCTTCTTCTATTTTACTTCTGCGAAACTCTGTTCAGTACCAGATGCTTCATGATCATTGCCTGCCACTGTATCCAAAGTATCCAGAGTGTCCAGAGTATCCAGAGTATCATAATGTTGCCAAGATTCTGGAAGCTTAATCGCAGCCAGTGTCCCAATCAAAGATGCACTTTTGCTATTGTCGGAAAGTTTGTCCCCATTTTCAACATCAGGTGCTCGATTAGACTGAACAAACTTGTGAAAATTTTCTCCACATGAATTGCAGAGCATCATTTCTTTCACAAATAGTACGAAACGCTCCTTCTCACAGCATTCCTGTTCTAGTTGATCTTTCAAATAGATTGTAAGTGCATCTATCTGTTCGATGTTGTTATGTAACCCAACAGATTGTTTATACAACGTCTTCCATTTGTCAAAAAATTTATTCTCTTTCCCTCATCAGAGCAAGCTTCTCGTATTGCACTTCTTCCATCTCTCTCTGAGCCAGCTTCTTTATGTAACTAATGTTGTCACTAAGCTCTTCTTGGCCTCTCTTCTCATATGATCTCTGAAACTCCATGTCAAAATTCCTTCTTTGCGTCCCAAGATCTTCAACCAACTGACTGGTCTGATTTTTGGCAGGCAAATCTAGTTTCTTCATCTCTGATTTCATTGTTTCAATATCAGGTGCTCGATTAGACTGAACAAACTTGTGAAATTTTTCTCCACAGGAATTGCAGAGCTTATTTTCTTTCAGAAATAGTGCGAAACGCTCCTTAGCACAACATATTTGTTCTCGTTTCTCTTTCAAAGAGATTCTAAGTGAATCATCGACGCCCATATAAAACACAACAGATTGTTTATACAACGTCTTTCTTTTGACAGAAATTTCTTCTCTTTCCCTCTTCAGAGCAAGCTTCTCGTATTGCACTTCTTCCATCTCTCTCTCTGATTCAGCTTCCTTATGTAACTAATGGTGTCATTAAGCTCTTCGTGGCCTCTCTTCTCATATGTTATCGCCTTTTCATTTAAATCTTTCCCACCCTCTTCATCGTGCCTCTGCAACTCCATGTCAAGATTCCTTCTTTACGTCCTAAGATCTTCAGCCAACTGACTGGTCTGAATGTTGGCATTATCATGCGAAAATAGTTTCTTAGTCTCTATGCCAGCTTCAAATGATTCTCTCTGCATCTCGACATCATCCACCTCCCTTTTCGAATTATCCCTTAAAATAATATCTTCTCTCTTCAGCCTATGCTTTTCTGATGTTTGCAAACTTCTCAAATTTTCTTTTTCTTCAGTAACTTCCTTTTGCTCTCTAGTTTTGTCAGCCCTCTTCTCATCCAAGGCTTCCCACTCTTTCTCCAATCTTCCCTTAGCTGTTTTCAGTTCTTCACGTTCCTTCAAGAGCAACTCCTCCTCTTGCTCAACTCTATCTATCTGCTGCTTCAGTTCAGACTGCAGCCTCAGAAACTTGAGTCTCTCTTCTTTTGTAATCCTGAGACTTTCATGTTCTTCGCGAATCCTTGACTCCTGCTTTGTTGTCTTAGCCCCGATCTCTTCAATCTCATCTTTTAGTTGACGCAGACTTTCCTTATCTTCGAGCAACCGCTTGTTTTCCATATGCAGCTTTTTCTCTTCGGCTTTTAGAGCTTTTTCTTTTTCCTTCACAACTTCCTGCCTTGCTTCAAGATCCTTTTCTTTCTCCTTCACTATCTCCTCCATTTTTTCCAACGTTGACTCCTTCTTCGCCAATTTCTCTCCCTTGTGGCTGATCTCAACTTCTAGCTGCTCAACTTCACTTTTCTTTCTCTCAAGCTCTTCATTGAGGGATATCCTCATCTGTTCAAGCTCCATTTCAAACTCATGCTTTCTGGAATCTAGAACAGCGTTCTGATCATCAAAGAGCTTCCCGGTCTCCATCTGTTAAATTTTAATCACCGAGTAACTTCTCTTTGAAGTATATATATTGGCATATAGCAGACAGAAAAGAAACAAAAAATAATAATATTAACCTATAAAAGTGACTTTTAAAACGTGTAAGTTGTTCCAGTTAGATAATGGTATTCCCAAGACATGTCACCATGGTTTTAAAATGTTTCTCTTGGTTACATCAACTCTGATTTTGTTGATTAGTGGAAGATGACATTTCACAACAAAAAGACATGGTATCCCCAAAAACTAGGAGACTAGTGATTGTGAAGGCGTAAATGAGAATAAAACTCATGGGGCTAATAGAGGTGGATGGTTATGTGTGTATAATACAACATCAAAACACGAAAGCACTTCTCCGCTTCCCATTCTATCTTTTATTAAAGATTCACTAAGAAAGAAAAGGTAGATATGTTTAACAAATAGAATGAAGTTTTCAGGTAAGTAGAGACTGACCTGCTCCCTCACAATAAGCTTTTCCTCAAGCTCATGGAGCTCCTTTTCCTTCATATCAATATTGGTCTTCATGGCCTCGAAGGCCTAAAACAAGAACCAAATTATATATATACCAAAAAGTACAGGAAGCGGAAAAAATATTGCAGGTAGAAAACTCACTTTTTCCTTCATAGAAATGTCATTCAGCATACTGTTTATAAATTCTTCTTTCTCTTTAAGGATCTTCTCTTTCTTCTTGATAGTTTTTTCACTTTCAATAATTCTTTCCTCTATATGGTTAACGCTTCTTTTAGCTTCAGACAATCGATCTTCTTCTAGTGTTAGCTTCTTCTCCCATTCTTATAGGTCTTCTCTCTGCTTGTAGAACACTGCCTCGTGTGCTTCTCGTCTAAGAAACGTAAGCAAAAGGAGAAAGTGAGAGGTCAAATATCCATACCAACAAATAAGGAACAGAACGGACGAGTAAAAGAACGATCTTTCATACTCTGTAACAAGAGAAAGATGCTCCCTTTGGAGCACCTTTTCGCGAGTCTCCACCTCTTTTAGTTTCTTCTCCAACTCAGAACTCTTTCTGTTAATCACTGAAAGCTTTTCTTCAGCAATGGCCCTCTTTCTATCCACCTCTAAAGAATTTTCCTTGATACCCATAACCAAAGCATTGGCTTCAGCTAACTTTGCCTCAGAAGTAGATTTCACCTCAGAATGTTCTTGTTGCAAATATTTCAAATCTCTTTCAAGCTGAAAAATAAGAACAGTAGAAACGCCTAATAAACATCAACACACAAAGAAAGCCAAAACAGGCAGGCATAAGAAGAAGATGAGATACCTCAGCTGCAAATTGCTTCTCGGAGATCAAAGCTTTCCTAAGATTCTCCTCTCTTTTCTCAGCTTCGTTTAAAGCGATTAACTTTGACATCCTTTCACGTTTAAGAATCTCGCTGGCTTCATCAATTGCTTGTTGAAGCTCTTCATTTGTCGAAGTCCACTTTGCAAAACGTTAGAGAAAGAGTTTTTCTCCGCTCTAAATCACTCTGTAATCGTCACCTCCAACTTTCCACTTGCAATTTGGAAGTGAAAATGACTCCTAAAATTGCTATTGGGCCACTTTGGACCTTTTCTTTTTTTCTTTTCCACTTAATTTGATTCAATTGGCCCATTTTTACTTTTGCAAGTTTAATTTCATTATGATTTCCCATTTTCTTTTTGTGGTTCTAAACAAATATAATAATTCCCTACGTTAAACTATGTTAACTCTCTGAAAATTCCATCTTCCTTTTTTTGTACATACTATATGAAGATTCCTATAATATTCATTGATTATAATATAATTGATTATAATATAGTTTGAGGACATGAGTTACTTTACTGGGGAGTGTCTACATGCATTATAGACTTATAGTCATATAGATGAGTGTCTACATGCATTATTGAGAATTATTATGCTCGACTGATTCATTGATCAGTATTCTTTTTTGGGTATCTGATTTAGTTTTACTATAAGTTTTAATGATCATATCGAGTTAAGATGATACTGATAACCTTTCATTTGTATCTTGATTTTATTTTGTTAACAACTTCTGTTATGCTGGTTTGCATCTGGGTAGTGATGCACTGAATTTTTTTTTTTGGGGTAACGTTCATGTTCTCCACTTTTTTTGTTCTCATTATGTGGTGTTGTATTGGTGTATAGAATAAGTCGCTTGCAACATCGTAATTGTAAAAAAAATTCGAAAATTGTATAAATCTTTACATTTAGACCCAAAACATATATTAACACAAATTTTTAAACTACATTTTCAATATTGATTTAATTAATTTAAATATTTTGAAAATAATTCTAAATAACTTACTATTTTTAAGATTATATAATTTTCAAAATATCTACTTTTTAGTTTTTTTTATTACTTATAAAAATAACATACTTAGAAAATATTTATAATGAATGTTCAAATGAAGATTCTTGATAATCCTGATTCACGAAAAGTACAATAACAAAGAAGAATGTAATGAAAACTTATGTCTACTTTATTAATCAAAATATGTCCTCCAATGGAGCCTAGCGGCTTGTTTAAATAAGAGATAACAATCAAAATCCTTACCTAGAAAAGAAGCAAAGGCAACATAACAAAATTAAATACCCAATATCAGAATAAAGCCCACAAAAAAAAACATGCAATTCTCACAACGTAAACATAGCACACGGTCGATCGAACACGGAAACACCGGACACACGTAGTTCAGCTTCAAAATCCGCTGCATCAACCATACCACACAAACCTAATCTTTGAAAGTGGGACACATTGAGAATGATGGATATACAACACTAGCTAGCTAGACTACTGTGAAGGGCAGCTTTTTGATATATATCTAAATATCTAATAACGAGTATTACGAAAAATAGCACAAAAATTTCATAAATCGATCATTTTAATATGCCAGAATAGAAGACGATTTGGTCACTCAATCAAAAAAAACATTAAAAAAAAGTCTTTAAACGTGTATTATTCTCTTGTGCATCCCTTTAAATGTATATTCATACTCAAAAATATCCAATATTTGCTCTGGATTCTTGGTCGAATGGTCCCTTTTTGCATTTTTCCCCCTTTATTGTCAACTACATTTATGCAACCTTATTAATGTTACAAAACGGTAAACTTATCAGAACAATGTTAACAAAATAATAACTGTATAAAATGGTACAAAAAGTTATTACGGTATCACTAGTTTTAAACATTTTGTTTGATAATTATTAGAGCGGTAAGCTACCAATCAAAGTCATTAAAATTAAACAAATTAGTTGGTGTAGAAAGAACCCCCCCCCTTAAAAAAAAAAAGTCGGCACATCCTGAGACTGAAAGACAATAAAATTTATGGAAAATGACAATTTCCTTATTCGTATCGAAAAGACAGCAAGACATTACACGCGCCAAAGTCATGTTCAGACTTACCAAATAAATGTCTTTAAAGTTTTTAACTATTCTCTTTACATCCCAAATAAATCTTATACTAATAAAAGTTGAAGCGAAATACTTTTCAACGCGTCTACATAAAATTTTTAGACGCAAAATTTAAAAGACTAATTTTATTGGTGCACATCAGCATTCAAAATTAAGAAAAATTTCTAATTTCTAATATTATTATTGAATAAAAAAATTAAGAAAGTTTACAAATTCTAATATTATTTCTGAATAAAGAATTCTGTATAATTTTTTTATTGGTCCACCTTAACATTGAAAATTAAAAATTTCTAATTTAATTATTGTTTTTAAAATTAAAGATAAATAAATATTAAAAACTAAAATAAATTATATTAACATAAGAAATTTTAAATTCAAATTAGATGTATATACACATATTTAGAGGCTCTTACAGTAGCATCCAATTTTTTGTCACATAATTATAATATTTTTTAAGTTTTTTTCTATATGTTCAACCATTTCAAATAAAAAAAAGAAACAAAAAAGTAGAGTCAGATTTCATTTAAGAATGAGTCATTAAAAAGAGTGTAAAATCTCTAAATTTTTGCCACCGAATTTAAAAAGAATGATAAATTTCAAATAATTCGAGAAACATGTCAAGTGATTGATATGCGACACTTTTAAAAAACGAAGCACTTAAAATAGGAAAAAAGTTCCTTCATTAAGACGAAAGAGACTGAGGTACCCAAAGAAGATTTTTGAAATAACATGACATCTGATGAGGTTTTAACAACCCAACCTGAACCACAAAGATAACAATTAGCTGACTAAACAGCATTAGAATACATTCGGTAAGCCTCAAAATAAGGATGAGAGACCAAAATCATTTGCTGCAACGGGCCTCGTGTGGGATCTTCCACCTTTGATTTATAAATCTAATACTAATAAAAGTTAAAGTTATATGCCGCTAAAAATGCCCACATATGATTTAAAAGTTTAATTTTATTTATCAACATCAATTTTTAAAACTAAAAAATTTCCAAATTTTAAAATTATATCACTAACAAAAAAATTATATTTATAATAAAAAATAAAAGTTGAAGCTATATGCCTTTAAAATATCCACATTAGATTTAAAAAATTAATTTTATTAATACACATTAATAACTAAAATTAAAAAGTTTCTAAATTATAAAATTACATTGTTAATACAAAATAATATAGAAAAAATTGTTAATTAAAATTATTCTATTATTAATTACAGTTAAATATACATTATTATCAAGGCATCCTTATCAGTATTTAAAAATTCAATTTTATTTATATATATCAAATTTTTAAATTAAAAAATTTATATAATTATAATATTATGGTTAGGAAAATAAATTAAAAATAAAGAAATCTCTATAAACAGAAAAAAAACATGATTAAAATTTCTTCTAACTTACAAATTTATTTTTTTATCTTTTAAAAATACATGCTACTTATACAAGCTTAGGTTACTTGATTATAAGGTTTTTCACCAAGAATTTCAAATAATAATAATTATTTAAAATATTTAATATATGCAAAACATATTTTCACATAATCTCATGTAATATATTATGCAAAAATGATCAAAAAATTATATTTTGTATATTCGACTTGGTATTGCAATAGATTAATATAAAAGTTCTTAGTTTTGAGTTATTCAATTAGTTATTTCATTTTTCTAAATTTGTATGTATTAAAATGTACTAGTTTTGTCTACTTAATTATAATTAGAAAAAGTGAGAATAAATATGAAGAAACTGAATATAATCATAAAAAATTATTAAATTAAATAAATATGATATATTCAATGAAAAACAGATATAACAATAATAATAATGAACATAATGAAAAAAAAAATTATTCTTATTAGAAGAGATGACGTATAATCATTGAAAAATAATTTAGAAGTTTACACAACCAATTGACATAAATATATTTAATTCATAAAGTTTGTATAATTTTATTCATTTCATATTAATTCAACTATTGTTTTGATTTCAATTTTAAAGTTTGTTATTAATCTCAAAACAAACATTTTATTTATTAGTTTGTTTTTTAAATTAATATATCAAAATAAAAATTTGTATTGGTTAAACAAGAGAAGAAAAAAGATTTAATTTTAAATTTAATTGTTTTTATTTGTTTAAAAAAACAATCTATAATTGGAATAAAAGTGAAAAATGATTAAAAAAATTATCTTCTTGATTTATGGAAGTCAATGTATAATATTTTATCATCATGTCAATAATATGTTTAAAATGTAGCATTTGATTAATTTGTAAAAAAAAAAATTGGTTTGGGTATATAAACTTAAAAGTGTTTGACAAAATAATACGTTTTTGAAATATGACATATTGTATATAGATTTAAAACAAAACCGTTAAAACTTTACAATTTACATTAAAATTATTAGATTAACACAATAATGTTTTTAATATATTGTTAAAATACTAATATATAAAATTTATATCTTAATAAATATAATTGATTACATATAAATTTTATCAACCAATTATCCACGCATAGCGTGGGTTCAAAATCTAGTAACTTTACAAAATTACATATCCTTTCTTCAAACACTCGGCTCAATTTCTGCCATCTGCTTATGAAAAGTCAATAATCGAGTCTTATTGCTTGTATTTTCTATTGTTTTTCTCAGTTTTATTACTGTTACTGCCTTACTGGTACTATATAAATTGTGTGCGGACTATTTAAGCGTGAAAAGGGAAAATAGGAAAAAATAAAACATGTTGTGTGAAACAAAAATAAGCATTCTTCCTTGTCATTTGTTTATAACCTATTTTTTACATTACGCCATTCACTTTGAAATTATTATTTAATCTTTGGTATAATAACGCATCTAGAATATCTCTGAGTTGTGACGTGCCGTCGCAGCTACTGGTTGGCTAATCCCAAAGTCAAAGCAATTATTATAGATCTATCATTTATAAAAATTGTAATCAACGACCAATTTGTCTAAATTAATTTTAAGTAATAACTAATATACATAACAGTCACCCCAAGGTAACAAAACAAACCAAAACCAAAATCAAGATGTCAATATCTTTGGTATATCAACATATTCACGAACACAAATATACAATCGACAAAAATGATAAGAAAAACAAAATGTATTAACACCAATCCTTTTTTGCTAAACGTATTAACACCAAACTGTAGGAACGTGTTTTTGTTTTGAAAAAAAAAAATCTCTAATCTATAATCTTTAATCAACATATAAAAAATGAAAACTAGGTAAGTTCTGCTCGTTTTTCTTAAATGTTACCAATCAAATCAAAACAGGTGTCACCACCATCAATGGTGCAACGGATTGGGTCCGGAGGGAACACGGCGTTTCTCCACTCCATAACGAGGATCGATCTCATCGCCGCCGTGTTTCTTGCCGGAACGATGGTGATGGCGGTTGTTTTCTCTGCTTTGGAAAGGCGTGAAGTCGAATCTATGGGAGAGAGCTTTTCTGCTGACTAATCTAATGGTGTAGAGACGGTTGTGGTGCTTCGACATCGACGGCTCCTCCGCGTTTAGAGCGTAGAGACGGCGAAAGTTGAGGGAGTACAAGTGGTGGAGGAGGAGAAAGAAGAGAGAGAGCCATAGAACTATAAAGAGAATTTGAGAGAACTTCAAGGCCATGGAAAATTAGAGGAAGTAGAAGATGAAGGAAATTATAGCTTAAGAAGAGGCCAAATTTTTTTTTATAATAACCTGCCAAGAAATTATTAATCAATAAGAAAATGCCAAAAGTATATTGTTTAATGTTTTGTGATGTATTTGGAAAAAAACAAAAGAAAGTTTTTTGGGCGGTTTGGAAGACAATATGGTAAGAGCTCATCGATCGATATTTATATAAATTATTATAGTTGACAAAATGTAAAGCTTAAGAGATCTGAGGGAGTGGGATTTTGTCTTTTCAACGCATGACGCTTTATCATGTGAGCTCTGTTTTCATAAAAATATTCGCCAATTTTGGTGTCAGAAATTTGAGGCATATAATTTCGCGGTTTTACCGATCTTCGTTAATTTTAGTTACAATTGTAGTGAGAAATGTTTTTTTTTTTGGTTTTATAGTGGTGTAGTGAGAAATGTTTCAGATTGCTGAATTTCTGTATATTGGTTGTATTATTTCGCTGCTAGAAAGTAGTTTGGTAACATTAAAAAGGGATTTGTTTTTTTTTCTCTATATATTTATATAACTTATGTACCATATACAAGCCAATTTGTATTAATTTTAGGTCATTGGTAGTCAGAATTGTCTTACATCGTGAAAATGATTATGTATTCATCGCGATGATTATATGTACATATATAATAGCATCTCAGATACATAATTTCATTTTTTTATCTTATTTTAAAATAAGTTTAAAATTTAGTTGGGTTTTACTCCAATCCCATTCTATTTTTTACTCCAATCCTTATTTGTTACACCATTTTTGGAGTAATTCTATTAATTACTCTATTTTGAAGTAGAGTTTGAGAGAATTTGGAGTGAGATTGGAAATGGTCTAAACATAATATAAACTGATCAACAAAAACCATGATTATGGAATATTAAACCGTGTAAAGAAAAATAAAACTAATGCATCGAGGTTTCTTAGAATTCAAGGAATGAAAAAGAGGGATGATTGCAACTTAGTAATTATGAAAAAATCTTTGGAAATGTGAAAATAAAATAACAAAATCTTTGATTACCTTTTTGTCAAAGAAATATTTGATTACCTTACAGAAAAAAATGGATTACAGAGTTGTTTAATCAATGGTATAATACATTTGCATGAGATGATTGCAATTATTCATATTGTATTTATAGGTCTAATGATAGTCGACGTGTGAACAGATTAATTAATGAACCATCGATCCCTTGCCGTTACATGTGCTCTGGAAATATATTGCGTCGTGGACTTTTATTGAAACCATGTTCCATATATGACTTTCCTTAATATATGCTCCAATAATAAATTTGTTTGCTTTTAACAAAAAAAAGATAAATTAAAGAAATGTGTTTCTGTCATCAACCGTTGACGTATATATATTCAAGCCTTCAATTTAGAATTTTTATCACCTTGTCGCACGTAATATATCATATTATTATTATTTTTCAAATGTTAAACCACTGGTAATAAGAAAAAGATGTTCAAAGTTCGACCAAAAAAAAAGATGTTCAGATATGCTACGAATAGTTTTTATGGAGTTCTCATTCTTGTAGTTTATATTGATGTTTCAGGATACCTACTCTCAAATGATTATATCTTCTTCTTTTTATTTATAAGTATAGCTTTTTCTAGGAGACTTTATATTTGTTTGCGAAGGTTTTTTCTAGTAAATGGTTAATTATATTCCAATTGATTTAAATACAGAATTTTGTTTGCGTTTGAGGCTCTTTTTATGTGTGATTTCTTTTTTGATCTCTAGATCCATTTTCAGATCAGATTTATACCATATTTATCGTTAAACCAGACTAAAATATGTGTTCAATTAAATGTTTCAAAAAAATCACTTACAGTAGCCAATCATGCATATGTTAACACTTTTTTACTAAAAGTTAAGGCAATATATATGTTTTATGTTTAATAGCTTTTTGGTATATTTTCTTACACTTGGATTGTGAATCTCTCATAGTGAAGAAGAAAAGATGATGAGATTATAAATTTGATTAAAGGTCTTCCAATGCACGAAAGAGGTTCTCGAGTGGATTGTATAACTGGTGGGCAATGTGCAATTCCAAACCAGCCTTTTTACTGTTTATATTTTCTATTGCACTAATGTTGAGTGCTCAAAATATGATTGCACTTGTAAAAATAGGAAAAGGAACATCAAAATTTTACTTATATTGGAGAAGTGTGCAGTACCATCGATTTCTAAATTCAAATGCTGAAATGCAAACGATAACTAAGAAATCGTTCACAAAAAAAGCAATAAATAAGACATATATGTAATCAAATCCCACGAAACGATCTCCGTGCATGGAAAATGGTCAAATCAGCTTGTAAAATATTTTTTTTTATCAGCTTGTAAATATATATATATAAAGTAAAAACTAAAAGTGGAAATTCTTAAAAAATAATTCGTTAAAGACAATAAAACGCTATTAGTAATTTAAAACTAAAAAGTTTGCTTTTAAGTTCTTTATTTCTTAAACTGCAAACATTATATTTCCAAAAAAAAATGTGTAGTTCATTTCACCAATTTGTTGTTCCTCGATAATCTTATGTATAGTTTCCTCAAGGAAGAGACTCACTTCACGTTACATAAATGTGGCAAGGAACTTTATTCTTGAGGACCTGTAGAATCGACGATGTTGTGTATTGTAGGATCTTATTGGCTTTGTTTAGATTTTTGGAAGTGTACATTTTCTCATATTTTATGGCGAAAGGACAATAAGGTGACTTGGACGATGTTTTATTGGTTTTATTCTGAATACATTGTTAGCCATGCGTCACAATGACTGTGACCAAACTCACCTTAGTATCTCAGTTACCTTTTGTTCTCTGCTGAATTTTTTCATTCTTTTTTTTTACTGGACCTACATGGTCCACATTTTAACCCTCAAGGAGGCGTGTATCAAGGGATCGAATTACTGATGCCATGTACTACATGGCCAAAGTGACCTATGCAACTTGATGAAAGTATTATAGGCTCTCAAAGTTTTCATTTATAATAGATTGAAACACAAAACCTAAACTGGTTATTAAACAAGTTAATCTTGAGGTTAAACCAATTAATTGACTAAGAATATAAAATTTCCTAAATCATTAAAATAAACATGGGTATATAATTATAAACATTCATAAATTAAGATAAACTAAAATAATTTTCATTTTAAAATTGGATGGTACTAAGAAAATAGGTTTAGGAATACCGCAATATCAAGTCTAAAGAGTGATAAGAGATGGTAAATATGATTGAGAACAAATACTAATTAAGGATAACAAACCTATTCTTTTTTAATTAAGAAACCGTAAATAAGACTAACAGTTTCAAACAGTTGACTTAACAAAAAAGTTTCCAAACAGTTGATATTGAATTATTATACGTGGGATATGGGATTCATCATCTTGATATAATATCAATATGGTTGTGATGTTCAGAGTTTTGGGGCATTAAAATTGCTAAGCTCCGTACGAGCTGCAGTGCAAGTCTATGTGCCTATGAAGATCTCGAAGCAGCTACACTTTGCCAAAAGATCTACTTCTCGACATCCATATCCCATTTTTCTGTTCTTAATTTCCAAAGAAACAAATGAACTAAATAAATAAAGAGTTCCTGTTCTGTCGTTACTTTATTTCCTCCTATTAAAGAAAAATTGCTGACAAGAAACAATATTTTGAATTACCAAAACGAGCCGTTAAAATATATATATATATATATAATGAATTCTCAATACGTTAACAAAGCCCAACAATTTAAAACTATACATTATTTTCAAGTTTATCCAGCAAACAAAACAATTTTTCAGTAAGCTACTTTTTCGTATTGATTTTTTCTTTTTTGGAAATAACAAATATCAGATGGCTCATGAATGAAATCCTGCATAGAAAAAGAAAGAAAAAAAATGAATTGTGGTACGTCCAATTTCAGAAGACAACAAAATGATCTTTATCAAATAAATAAAAAAGACAGCAAGAAACCACCCTAAATACAATTTCGGCTGTTAAATAGAGTTTGCAATAAGTTTTGTGAAACAAAGTGCAATAATACCCAATTCTTCCACAAATCATATATATTATGCAATTTATGATAAATTTTGTGTCATGATCCCCCATGTTATATATAAAAAAAAAATCCAATGACTGATTCAAACTCCGATTTGACCTAGCTCAAAATAAATAAGTTTGTGTATGCAAAACCGATCGACTCTCTTTTATTATTTATAAATCAGAAATGTTAAAATCTTGGGCTACGTCCTTGATGGACACTCCTACACCGGATGAAACGGTCGGTGTTTAAGACCTAGACTCCTACTTTTATATCTTTCTTTATATCCTCTCTTCTGCTCCATATTTTTTAAAAGGCTTTTAAAGCAGAGAGTGAGGTTTCTGGCCTTTAACGTACCTTTCTGGTTCTTTATTTGCTCTCTTCTGCTCAATAGTTATTTTAAAGGCTTCACTCTTGTCAGATTTTAATTATTTTTCTACTTTGCTTGTATACAATAATGTACAGTTATATGGTTTGCATAGTTATAGATACACCAATGATCAAATTTTGGTGGTCCTGAGAGATTGGAAAAGCAAGGAGGATCGGAGGCTACATTTACAGGTTAGTATTCTTCTCTGTTTCTTGTAGCTAGATCTGAGGAAAGTGCATCGTCTGTTTTTCTACTTGAATATTTAAACATCTAAAAATAAATAAATAACTTGAAACATATGCTTTACTTAATTTATGATAGAGAGGAGGGCAGAATATATGTACATACGAACTCTAGATGTAATGTTTTTTCAGTTGTCAATAATAAAAAAAAAAGAAGGACGAATGACATTTTGGCTTTTAAAATTTTGAAAGACGCAATATATTATTTGACCAAGAGCGATTCATTAAGAAAAAGAGACAACGTTAAGAGAGGACCTAAAGAGAAGATGGCCAAATGTTAAGCAGCTTTTTGGATTTTAAAATAAACAAATCAAACCAAATGATTTATTAATAGATTATGGTTTAGTTTCGGTTCAAACGTTTGGTTTAGTTCAGCTTCGGTTTATACGTTTGGTTTGGTTCAGTTTGAGTTTGAGTATGAGTGTTTTCAATAGTAAACCCATTATTTAAAACGAAATTAAATGTCAATAGTGGGCCTCAGGCCCACACTATACTTTGGTTTCGTAGCGCTAGGGCATGTTGCTTGCCGTTGCAGCGGAAGTCATGTAGAGGAGTCTCCATAGTCTCTATTTTAGACGATGATCGATTGTTTTTTTAATGTTTTTTTTTGGTTAAACATATGCGTCGATTAGTTTTTCATGGTTAGGAAATTAAAGACATCCATTGTGTTGTAGAATTGTCAATCGAACTTCATCTCAAAATAGAAGAGAAATCAAGGAGACTCCTTTTTTGCAGGTGATGGAATAATGGTTTTCTCTCACAGAAAAACAAAGCTGATTGATGCTTAACCTACCTCCTAAGAGGCTAAGACTATAAGGTAATCACATTTTCCATTTAGATTTAGCTGCTCATGCTGATATGTTTTAAATTAACATTTTGAGGTTCGAGAGGTTACAGTTTTTCTCAATTCAGTCGTAGAACAATAACAAATAAGAAAAGAAAATGTATAAAAACATGTCATCTAGAGATTTATATTAATAGAAAAGTCACCAAAGATGGATGGTGTCTAAATACCACCTCAGTTGTTCTACGAAAACTAGATATTATTCATTCATACACATATAGATATGCTTAATTGGAATGTCGCAAAGTACATCAAAGCCTAACATCTACGTTATTGTTTTACACATCTTGGAATGTGGTATCTAAAGCTACTCTTTACTTAAGAGTAACGATTTTGCCTCATCAATAAAAACACAAAATCAGTATATAAGTTACCATATTTATATAATCAACAGAATCTCATAAGTTATAGGTTTGCTATGTCTCTACTTTGTAATTGTGTGCTTGTGACATAGCTTTTAAATTGCCTATGTACCAACATATATGGAAAGACAACCAGCTACAGAATCCATTGATAAAATCAACCCCGGTGTGGAAACTTGCTAAATAGTTGATTATTTGAAACCACAAAAAATATAGAATTTATATTTATCCAGTAACAAGCAATCCAAAGCCTCGAACAAATTAGCAGACCAAACCCAAACACATAATGTCTACGTTTATATTATGCGAAAGATGTGGCTCATGGCTCTTATGTTCATGCATTGAGAAACTCCAAATACCTCATAAGAATGGAGCCTCATGATCATCAATAGCAGAGATAATCGTTTAGAGAAAAAGATGAAATAAGGTTTCTCTCCTCATCTACTGATGCTGTTGAAGTTGTGGTATCTTGCATTGGTGTTACCATTCCTGGAATTATATAGCAGAGAGCCAACATTAATCAGGACTGCATTAATTAGGGTTTTTCATTACCACATTGATGTTACCTGTTGTTGAAGTAGTACCTCTTATTGAGCCAAGATTTGTGTAAGGTTCCTCGGAGTCTCCGAAAATGGAAGAGGAGCTAGAGTCACTGGTTAGTCCAAGAAATTTCTCTATGATACTCACAGAATCCATTTGATACCCTACCACGTTCATATTAGCATTACTCCATTCTTGTTCTTGTTCGTGATCTTCCTCTTCTAGTATTTGCGCACCACCGGTTATCTTGGCCTTTCTTGTTTCTTGATGAGGATCTGAAAATGTTTTCGAGGAGTCAATAAGTCCTGATAATCTCATGTTCATCTTCGTCATTGTTCTCTCTCTTGCTCTTTCTCTAGCTTTCTCTCTCGACTCTTTCTTCTTACAAGAGCTCTCCACCGTCTTTGTTCTTCTCTTTGAGACTTTCAATGTCTCATCCCTTGCCTTTTCATTAACCTGAAGATGTTCATAGTCTCCTCCTCCTCCTCTTGATGCAGATACACTTTCTTTAACTTGGTTGATGGAGGCCTTTGATTTGGAGATAAGCCATTCGATCGTCTTGCTCGCCTTGTCGAAACCCAACATGTCTTGAAGATCAAAGAATTTGCGAGCAATCTGAAGAGACAGCCTCATCCTTCGGTCTCTAGGACCTTGAGCGGTGCAGATCTTACTATGCCTGTCCCTTTTCTTTCCCGTTCTTCTCCGTGGAACCTTTTCTGAAGTAGTCCCATCAACGCACTTCTCAGTGTTTTTCTTTTGCTCAAGCGTCTTGCAAACCTTTCTCGGAGATTCAACAACATTTTTTGCTGCATCTTGCTGTGGTAACAAGAATTGGCTTATCAAGACTGATTCATCAAGAAAAGCTGAAGAGAAAGAAAATGAAGGCAAAGGGTGGTGATGGTGAGAACTAGGGCTTTGGATATGAGTAGTGAAAGAAGGAAGCATGGTTGTTAGATGGGGATTGAAGGGATCAAAGTGGTCATAGCCATTGGTGTCTATAGAAGGAAACATTTGATTGAAGAGAGATAGGTAACTATACACAATTTTCTTCCCCTTCTTCAGTCAAGACATTTGGTTTATTAGTGGGTGTGTGCTTGTGCTATAAAGTTTGATAGGTAGAGGAAGAAGGACAAAAAGCGGTTTTGGAAAGTAAAAAAATCTTAAGCACAACAGGTTTTTGTTTTATCGATACTTTATACAGCTCTATCACCTCCGTTGGTATATTTTCCATTAGTTCTACTAAATAGAAAGAAGGAGAGAAAACCCCGGCTTAATAGCCACTCTAATTAATAGGGAATGACGCATTAGAGACATTTAACTTCGATCAGTTAATAACTTGATAAAGTAATAAATTTATTTCGTTTCAAATTGATTTATCGAAATATTTAATATTTCCAAAAATCAATCTTTACTAAATTTGATAAATTATCACAAGACATTATTGTTTCATATATAAGCGCACTTCCTCCACTATTTTTAGTTGAAATTCTCAAATTTTAATCGATTTTAAGTTACGTATTTACATAGTTTTCAATTATAATTAAAACGATAGTCTTTAATTATTTTTGGTACATATCTTTGAAAAAAAAAAACCCATCTTATAATTATTTGTGTGGAATAGAATAATATATACTTCGTTTCTATGACTGACTGACTGGAGAACTGGCCAATCTTTGCATCATAGCTAAGTGAAGTTGAAGTATTGAAAACTCAATATATGGAGTTTAACATCCTGACTCGTAAAACTTGTAGTCGAATGCTTTTTTTTTTTTTAATTAGCTCTGATGTAACTTATTGGGTAGCTACTCATATTACAACCCCTAAATTTAAGGAATAAAGAAGTGCTTTTACTGCAAAAAGAAACGGCTAAATAAGTGTGGTGTGGATGGGATAAGGTAAAGGAGGAGGTTGTGGGAGTGATAGTGATTAACGGTAATGAAAAAAAAGCTGTGATCGCCAAGAGAAGAAAAGTGGGATGAGAAAACGAAAGGGACCAAGTCTAAGGCCTAATTTGGTTACCCCTTCACATGGGCGTTGCTTTGTTGTTTGATAGCAACCCCATCTCCTTATTTTCTCGATTGTGCTTTATTGGAAGATAATATTGGCATCTACATCTTATATAAAGAAGAATAATATATATACAGATATATTTTTTGTTTTTCTTGCTTAGATATTTGGAGACATTCATTGTTCAATAGGATACAAATCATCAAACATTATATTGGAGTTCAAAAGGGAAAAATTTGTAATATTGAGCATTGTCGCTTGTTCATTATTAAAATTGTGTTACTTTTGTAGAATTCCACGACTTGATTCTTTATAGTTTGTTTCTCTTTTAGCTAAAGATAGATTTGCATGTACGTGTTACAAGAATTTGCATATTGAGTTTTTTTTTTTTTTTTAATTTCTGTTTTGTTTCGGTTAATGAAATTGCTTATGAGAGGTAACTATATAGTGATCCTCGCATATAATGTCTATAAGGATTTGGATTTTGATTCCGTTCTTTAAAAAAAAAAACTAATTGAGTAAGAAAAGAAATACAAAAGGGAATGAGAGTTACTGGAGACTTTATTACTCATCAAACATTCAGAAGCTATAAAAACGTCACAAAGAATAAATAAGGTATAAAACCTAAAGCAAACGAGCACATTATCAAATACTCCTAATGAACACTTCCAATTATTATTGTTATCGGAGGTTTACCAGCCCTCTTTCCCCTTTGTCCACATTGCCTAACCGATCAGGTCGATCAATATATTTAAACATAAAACTTGGATGGACCTAAATATATAATCATTACCCCAAAAAACAAAAAAAAAATCAGTGACCCCTAAAGGCATAGCTCCTTTGTTTAGCCTGCTTTTTCTCCAGACCCGACTTGGTTGTAGCTTTATATATATGATTGATTCAGTTTATTTCAGCTGAATATGTTAAATTTGTGTTCCAATCTTCTTGTTTTAGATCAACATTATGATGATGTATATATATTGGACGGGTTCTGCTAAATTGAAATAGAGGGTTAGGGCCGTATACTGTTAAAATAATGAATCTTGAAACGAAGTTGTTAAAGAAAGGAGCCTGAACAAGAAGATCTGAAAATGCAAAACATGCGTGGTTAATTTTGATTTTTTATTACTTTTTATTAATTTTTTTTGTTTTGTTATAATAAGTATAAAAATGTTTTTATTTGCTTGTTTCTAGATCGATGAATATTCGTGATCGGTTGAAAAAGTTATCGACATCTTTCATTTTATGTACTTAAGTTCTTAAGCTTTCTATATTCGAAATTTGCTTAGTCTACCTATTTGATTCTTCATGTATGGAGAAAAAAGAGGAGGTAGATGTGATTGGTGGAGAGAGATATAGGTAGGGAGTTAGGGTTTAGGACTTACAAGAGACGGACACAAACTGAGCCTACAAAACCCATAGGTTTTATTTTATTAGTGCCTACTCTCTCATTGCTTTTCCTTTGACTCCCTTGACCACTGCTTCTCACCCTAGATATACATTTCATCATACAATACTATAAATGATAGAGATAATTTGCTAAATTAATGAAAAAACTACATAATATAATTGTTCACATAATATCCAATAAATACACATGTTGCATAGAATTATGGATTCTTAAAATAAAAGATGAAATATGTTGGTGAGTGAAATCTCTCGTCTCACCTATATGTACCACTATGATCTACCACACATCTTTTGAAAAACGATAATCATTTACTAGGCATTACGGTTTGATGATGCTAGGGAATAAGTAAAGCAAATATTCGATTTTTTTTTTGTGATGGGCAAAAGTTGCAAAGAAACTTTCGCTTATAGTTATACCAGATGATATTTGTTGTAAATGCTTTTATCATTTTGTATCATTACTAATGAGAAACAGAGAGAGTCCCCTTATTAGGGCTGAGGAACACAAATAGACTGCTTTATTGTAGGTTATCAGTCACTAATTGGCAGTTAAAAAAAAATATCAGGATCCAAGATATATAATCTAATATAAAAACAATACCAACGTATAGAAATAACTCGAACTATATAATGGTAGTATAATTTTATCTTTTTGAAATCCATCTGTATTATAATTAAATATCATTCGTAGCACCTCTGTTATGAAAATGAACTATTTTTTAATGAAACATGCAAGCCAAATTTTTTTTTTTGTTAAAGGGTTTTCTTCACGCTAGCGAATATGAGTATTGTTATAATTTTTGTGAATTTGAAGAGCTTATCAAGCATCAAAGAGAAAAAAAATAACAAAATTCCAGCAAGTTTCATTTTACCGATTTCTTTTACTAAATCAGTGAATGAGTAAATGCAACCCTAAGAACACCTTTTTATAATCTCCAAAATCTGATAGATATTATGATTCTATCTACATCGTGGAAATATTCTGCTCACTCGAATTGAACACATCTTGATTTAAAATCAACTAGAACACGTATATGACGGTGGAAATAAGTTTCTATTATAAAACCGCGAAATAAGATCGACGTGATCAAGCTAGGGAAAATTGCTTACCTTTGGATAATGCATACTGTAAGAAATGGAAGATGAAAGCGTTGATTTTGGTCAAACAGTTGAAGAAATTTAAATGCAGTGTACTCCAAGACTGGGCCTTTCATCGTCTACCGCTTGGAGAGTATTAAGCCCTTATAGAGAGTACTTTTATTTAAAAAAAATTAAATATCCTCTGTATACATGGCAGTTTTTTCGTCTAATTTAATTTGTAATATCATAATGGAAATCAAAGGGAAATACAAAAATCAGCGTGAATAATATTCTCATTTTTGGGAGATCTGCAGAAAACTAGATTTCTCCAGAGAAAAACCTTATGAAAGGAAAAACATCATGGTTTTATGTCCTATTTTTTCCCTTTCTCTTTTAATTGTAGATATTTTAGTTTTAGAAATAGAAAAATGTGAAGAAGCACAAAAGATCGTTTTTCAAAGTAACAGAGATAAAGAAAATGAGCTCAAAGTTTTTTTTTCAGGAGCTAATGATGATGAAACCCTTTTCTATGAGAATCTTATTAACCCTTTTCTATATAGTCTTTCACCATTTTACTAATTATTGGTTTTGTAGAAAATTAGGTTGTTATTATCAGTCAAGTAAATTTTCAAAAATTCACCTGCAATAGATAGTTTTGGATATGGGTGTTGATACAACAAAAACATTACCACAAACAACTTAATTACAGGTTTTGATCTATCAATCAAATACGATTTGATGAATTATTTAAAATCGTATTATAAAGTTTTGTGGAAAAAAAAAAACTAAAATTATATCATAAAGTTGTAAGAATTGTCATAAGACTGGCCATACAACTACTTTACAAGAAGTTAATAATATCTCATGTTGACATATCACATGCGTGTGTCTGAATGTAGACTATAAGCGATTTTGCTTTTGTGTGTAAGGGGAAATATGTTTTTGTGTGGGCTTTAATAAGCGACACACAGTGTGGCAATTTTCTTAGGTCGTACCTCTCCTTGTTCGTGTCACGAACAGGTGGTTACAAAAATATGCTATTTAGATTTGCAACTGAAAAATCAAATGACGGTACGATTAAATTAACTTCGACACAATTTTCAAAACTCATTCATCTCGCAATAGGTCTATGCAATTGGATTAGTCCACTTGACGCTACCCATATCCCATCCAAGTACTACCTAATCTTTTCGAAGAATTTTCTTTTGGATCATGATAATTTATTCTAAATTGTGTGGATCGAGTGAATTATCCATGCTATCTGAATCACACATTTTGGTAGTTAATTATTTTTAAAGTCTCTGAAATTATCCAAATATTCTTGTTACTACTACTCAAAAACTCTTTTGAAAATCATATAAAAATTTGAAGTATCAACATAACCTCTGTAATAATGTTATGAGTCAAGATTGTGGACTCAACTTTTATTGTGTTATTGCTTTTAATCGAAAAGTTGAGGAATAAGAGACTATCAAAATTAGGAGTTTTGTAACCCACACATGCAAAAAGACGGC